TATAGGAAATTATTATAGATACCAAGTAATCCTAACAGTACCCCCTCCCACCATGCTTTGTTTTATCTTAGCCCTGTTCCCAACTTTGTAGGCAAATTGCAGCATCCCTGTCCTAACACACAGATCTGCCACTTGGCCCTCACCCAGATTAGATGTGACACTTGTAGGACAAGAAATGAATGAGTTAATAAATGTGAACAGGCGTGACTTTTCACCCACTGTTCTCAAATCACATCATGTTTTTTAGCATGGAACCATAATGATCAGTCAGACAGAATATTATAAGCAAGGGAGACTCTTGTCCCATACCTTGGCAATGGCAGTTCTTAGGGGACTTTAATGACAACTGCCACAAACATTTGTCAACACTGGACCTTATTGCTTGCAAAATATCGCAAGGCAGTGCAGTTATGCAACACCAGTTACAGAAATATGCATGTTCCTTTGGAAAAGAGTTGCCTTGTACCGTTTTAGAGCAATCTAAATACACTTGGCAAGAATTGCCACTCAGAATCAGCTTCACTCTTTGTCTGTACTGCCCTTTATTTGCTCTAGATTTCTGCAGGGAAATTGCCCAGACCTGCCCATTGCATAATGCCTCACAAGCTGCGTTGCCAATGTCTGCTAGTGTCAGCCCCATGTTTGGGCTGATCTGAAGCCAACATTGACAGTGTGATAGTACAATTTGTTTCACCTCTCATCAACACTAAGGTGATAAAAAGGAGGAAATTAACTGATGTGTAAACCCTGTTCCAGTGAAGTCAAAAATTCCACTAGCTTCAGTAGGAAATATGTTTGTTGTTGAATCACTTAGTGAATATACTGAACTGACTCACATTTTTAAGAGTCACAGAATAATTATGGCAAATCAGTTTTTATTACTGATTTATCAACAAAAGTTCAAAACTTAGTTTCTTTCCATATGGTTAACAGAGTTCATAGCTATGGGAAGAGCCCTCCCTTACCTTTGCACTTCCCTGTATCTACTGGAAATAGTTTGGAGTTGAGAGAACAGATGGTAGGAAGAAAGGTAAAAAATTTCTCCCCATTCACATTAAGTGAAGGAAGGAGCTATTCAGGATCCAAGCCGCATATCATGTGCTTGCATGCAGAGGAAAAGTAAGTTATTGGACTGCAGTACTGTATGTGTTTAATTGGATATAAATCCTACTATGTTCACTAGGGCTTACTTTCAACTCAGATGTGCAGCCACATTTGGATTTTGTATTCTTAATATTCATCATAAGTGGCTTATCATCTGATTGTTCCAAGATCGATAAAGGCCTATGAATAAATTCCGTTTGAGGAGGATTGACTTTTAGGCTATGTATACCATAATGTCTAACTAGCTTATATGTTCTAGTAAACACTGTGGCAGCATGCAGTGTGCATGTCCTATATACACCTCAGAAGCTGAAGAAAGGGCACTTATTGGAAGACAGGGCAGGAAGTGACTATATTTTGCATTGCAGGGAAACCTACGTAAAACACTGTACATAGTCTAGAAGTTGGCACAGAACCACTACACCTTCTGAAACACAGTATATATAAAGAATGGGATTAGCTGCTTTAATTGGATTATGGTTTGGTTTGATTCACCCATCACTCGGATGGTTCATGGCCTGATTTCAAATGTTGCAGGATAAGCAAGGCAGGGAAAATCATTTATCATACGATTTCAGTGAAGCACATATTGGTCATCTTTCCATCAAAGTTGTGCAGTTGTATATATTTACTGAAAAGGCACTGTGTGCCTTCTAGGTGCCCTTTCCTACAATTTTTTTGAATTAGTTGACCCTATTTAGTCCTCAGGTATGTGGACTAAAAACTTGAAATGGAAAAGGGGCCCCTCAGAAAGAGATCTAAACTGGTCTGTGGACAAAGACACAACAAAATTGCTTCCTGCAGAGTTTGAGCAGGCTTTAATAAATTTTTCAGGAGTACCCTTTGAGGTCTGTGGTATCTGCAACCCTCAGACTTTCAAGAAGTTATCTGCCCCTGCTGCAGAATACACTGGAATAAAATTGTCTAGGTAGGCTGAGCCTTACAATTAGTGATGATTTCTGCCAAGTCAAATTTGATAGCTTCTGATCATAACACCATGCTATAATTTGTACTCTGTAAATATGAGAAGCTTTGGGACTCAGAGGAATGGTTCTGCATCTCTTTAACAACTGACAGCATTATTGTCTGATGGTGATAGTGTTGTCCAGTGCCTGAAAACCACCGTGTCCATTCATCTCCCTTTTTGCTCTGCTGCTGGGTTTTTTTTCCCAAAGCTCTCTCATCTGTGCCAAACAATGAAGCATTCAGAGGGAGCAGTGCTGAGTGCAGAAACAAAATGGGCATCTCCAGGCAGGAGAAAGCACCAACTGTAGGTCTTATAGCATATGTATAATAAAAGAAGATGTCACTCCCTGGGTTGCCTTACAGAGAGAGTTGCCACCTGAATAACATCTGCTATTTTATTATGAAGAAGTTGTTTTCCCCCAATCAAGTGATCAGAAACACTGTAAAAATGACCAAGGAAGAGGCTAATCCAACCTGCAGCCCACAAAGCTGAATCATCTGTCACCTCTATATGTCCTTCCACCCGAGATTCAGTAACTGTTCTGATTTTACTGTCTGACCGAGACCATAAAACTAGGGGATTATCGTGAACCTCGCAGGCTATGGGGATCAGGCTTTCTATGCGGACATATCCATCATCATGTGCATCTTTACTTGGAAGTTATGTTCCATGGCATTCAGTGAGGATAACATGTCACACCATTTAGGACAGACCTGGGCAAAGTCCGGCCCGAGGGCCACATACGGCCTGCGAGCCACTCCTGTCTGGCCCGCGGACAGTTTTGAATATCAAAACCATTTTGTCTAAAGTTGATCAGTTGCTTATCTTTAACATACCACAAAAACCTCTTTAGTATTTGTGAAGATTAACAAGTTTAAAATAAAAACAATCATAACATCGCTGTTTCATTTTAGTTTTAATTAAATTTGGTTTGACCTCCAACTTTTTTCATGTGGCCCCCCTATAGAAATTAATTGGCCACCCCTGATTTAGGAAGTGCCCCTGCCTGCCTCATGTCCTGTCCATGAGAGAGGAGGAGGAGAAACAATTGCTGAATTCTCATCTGCTATGTTTCAGACTTTTTATTTTATTACTATATTGGCCAGAATCCCCTAACCAACAAGCCTTAAGTAGCTCGTCCAAGTCCTGCCACCAATCTGTTGGGCAGTGTTGCATTTCCTGCTCATGTCTTTCAAGATGCCTGCTGTGCTGACAGTGTAACTGACAAATAATTCCACTGGAAAGATGGCTTGTCACTGACTAAATTGTGGACACAAGGAACTGGGAGGAATGATACACAGCAGCAGCAACTTCTCATTTTCCATCCCAGACAGAGTACATGGGAGATCTAATCAACTCACTGTGCCATCCTCTCAGTTTCTACTCAGAAGTAAGTACTAATCTCTTTACTAGAACATATTAGGAAGAGCTTCCTGACAGTAAGAGCAGCTCCACAGTGGAACAGCTCAGAAAATGACATTCTTTCCTTCACTGGAAATTTCTTAGGTAGACATTTGGATGGCCATCTGTCAGGGATATTTCCGCATCGTTGGGGGTTTGGATCAGGTAATACTTGAAGTCCCTTCAAATGCGACAGTTCTATGATTCCATTATTCCCAAGTGTATAGGGTGTGATCTTGTATACACAGTTCAATGGGAATAAGCTATACTAATTTACTGGAACTTCTAGGCAGACGTACCTATGACTGTGGCACTAATGTGTGTATTGAGGGAAGACTGTGTTTTGGTTTGTGGATGTGAGATCTGCCAGCCAGAACACTGGCTGCAATTTCTTCTGCTGTCTTGCTTTTCAGCACAGAGGCACTGTTACTATGCCAGACATGGAGAACAGGACTTTCTTAGTTTCATATTTCCTTGTTTTCTTGGCATCTAAAATGTCCCAAGAGTCATGCAATACAGAGTTGTTTTTTTCTATTGAATGTCTATGTTGTTGAATTCCAGAAAAGGCACTTTCCTCCCAAGGCGCTGGAAAACCACCGGAAGCTGGTGTGGGCAGGGCACTGCTAAATGGGCCAATATTCTGATGTAGGACAAAGGCAGTTAACTACCCCTGGAGTTCACAAGTATACTTTCTTGCACTTAGAATCCTGAAATATGACCAGTAACATAAAATATGTAATATAATCACCGACAATACTTCACCACTATTTATTTCTTAAATCATTTATTTATTCTTAGTAGCCTGTCTCAACAGGCATTCAAGGCACGGGATATGTTGTTCACACTTCATCAAAGATCAGAGATGGTGAACTTCATCTACAAGCTTCCTCCACTATTATCTCTGATCTGTTACTGAACTGACAAAGCTATTTAAAGCCCACAAAGCTGTTGCATGGAACAGAGATCTACTTTGCAGCTAAGGGAAGCTGATCCATGAAACTGGGCTTTAGTTAGCTCTCTAGAAAGCTGTCATGTTCCGGCTTGGGCTTTAGTTAGCTCTCTAGAAAGCTGTGAAAGACTGGTGGAGATATGCAGAGAATTGAACTGTGCTTTGTAGGTGTGGTAGTAGGGTAGTAGAATGTCCAAATTGTTCAGAACTTTCATATTTCACCACTCCTACCACTCAGTCCTAGTTGCCAGGAAACATAGCTGGGAGGATGCTATTGTACCCATGTGCTACTTGTGGCCTTCCCATAGAAAACACTGTGATCCAACACAGAGAATGCTCTGATCCAACATAGACCTCCTTATGTTGTTGTGTGAACCCCAGTTAGCATGGGTCAGTCCCAAAGTGTCAGGTGGGGGTGGTAAATTTTGTCCTTAATTCAAATGTGGCCCCCTAAGTATGGCTTGTTATATTCACCATAGGAGAAAATTGCAACCTTTCATATGGTCTAAGTATGTGTGTCTGTAATATGAGGTGGGGGTGGGGAGAGGAGCTTTCAGGATAGGACTGAGGTAGAAGCTAGATGTACCTGCTATAAGAAGGATGGGAAAACATTTTTGGCCTGGGTGACAAATTCCAGCGTGGGGAGGGCCTTGGGAGTTGGATTTTAGCAGTGGATAAGGCTAAAGGCCCAGGGTAGGGCTCAAGGAAAATGCTTGAGGCACAATGTAGTTTTGCTTTCTCCCATGTTTGAATTCTGGAAATTCTGCTTAAAAACAAGCTGACATGAAATTCCTTGTAATCTTTATTGGATGGGTGAATCTGTTAGTCTTGATTTTTCCCCCCATCTGAAAACCAGACATTTTATTACATTCTGGTAAAGAAACAAAATTGCATCCATCCCTATTGAGAGGAAAGGAGGCGGTATAATGGGAAAAATGTCCATAACACCCCGCACAAGGACCTTGTAATAAGCAAATCCCTTCTATGTGTACTTTTCTCATCATGACAATGGACCATTTTACTTATATCTATATTTCCAGGTACTGCATCCTGCTAGATATATTTTCACCCTGCTGCGAAGCACACTGTCTTCTTTTAACTTCCTCTAGGATCTGCACTGCAGTCTGTTGAACAATGCTTTGTTCATATTTTGTTCCAGTTCTGAAGCCATAGACAAGTTGACTCACAACTATATCCTGCAGAAGACACTGTTCCAACCTCCAGGTGGCTAACAAAACAAAAACAACTATACAGCTTCATTTCCCCACACACACACCTTATGAAAATAAAATCTTGAAGCATCCTGGAGAATGTTAAAGTCAGTTTTCAGGGAGGTAACAGAGAAGGCTGCGACATGTTAGGGCCAAAGAGAGGGAGGATTTTGCTATAGCCAATGAAAAGGTAGCTCAGAGAATCTAAGCTGTTGGCGGATCGCCAGTTTGCCTATATTTAACCTGCACTGAGATTTCTTAACAAATATAAATCAGTTGCCGAATAGCGAGGCTGAGTGTAATTACTTTTGTTCTCTCATGTAAACCCCACTCAGAAAGTTCCCCTGAAGCACCTAACCAAGGAAATACATACAGCCAAGATTCTTTTGTGGTCTCCTCCCCTTGCCAGGAACCTTTCTCCTCAGGACAATCTTCAGATTTGGAAGCATTCCCTCTGATGAAGTTGATTAGCAGGCTGGCCCTAAAACTGCAGGGAAAGGGGGGGGGGAAGAGAAGACAATAAGAGGCCCTTCACTTTGTGAGGGAAAAAGTACAGTACTGCTTTTCAAAAATCCACACTTATAACTGAAGCCTTGCTACATGGTAGAGAAACAGTCATTAGATTTTGAGGTCTGGGACTGGTTTTTATGGCTGTACATCATCAGATGTACTGTACATCATCATCAAGAAGAGACCACAATGGCATCTTGAAATCTTTTCTTGCTTTGGTTCATTTCATGTCTTTTGACTCCAGCTTATGGTTTAATCCATTTAGAGTGTAACTAAAGCAGTGTTCTATGCCTGCCATGCTGGCTGAAGATCGTGGGGGCTGTAGTTAAGCAGGTGAGATAAAGCTACAACTTGGTATCTTTCAGATATTTTGGCCTGCAGCCTTATAATCTCTGACTGAAGTTTATAGAATTATAGTCCAAACCAGCTGGAGGACATTGGCTTACCTATCCATGTTTGATACTTCATGTGATCCAGGAGAGTCCTTTAGATCAGCAGTGGACAGCACGTGGCTCAGGGCAAAAAATGCAAATCCCAAGTATTCTTGACTCCCAATAATCCCCACACTGCCATGAAAGTTTTTTAAAAACTTATCAAGCTCTCAAAATAAATGTGGCCTGTAGAGAACATGAGGGACAATTTGGCCATGTTTTCAGCAGGTGCCCATTATCCTGTGAGTCTTCCATGCCCTGATTATTTCTTAAATCATGTTTGTGGGGAGCACGAGAGGATTCAACTGGCTTTTCCCACTTAGAGAACCCTCAATTCCCTAAGAAGAAATGTTAGTGTGTGGGTCGTTGGGATGGCCCTCCAAGGTGCAGAGTGTTTCTGGCCCTTCAAACCTCTGGCATTTCCTTATCCCTGCCTTAGATAATTATCCTTTTTCTCTTTCTGCAATGGTTCTTTGTTTCCTGCTGCCATTTTTGCAAAAGAATTCCAGGTTCCTTTGTCAATGTGCACTTTCTTGTTCTGGAGGATTATATTCTGTAGGTGTTACAGATACAGATGTGTAATGGAATTCTAACACAGTCTGAATGGAGGAATGTATATGTTAATATATATGGGGAGTGAATTCTGGGGATCAGTGTTGCCCCTAGGAGAGCCTCTATGAGCAGTGCCACTCTTAAAAAACAATATTTGCTTCTAATTTTGAAAAAGCAATTAAAAAAGACACCCCCCTCACAAAGCAACATCCTTCACTTTGTTCTGGAGTAGAACTGCCAGTCCTGGAGGCTTTTGATTCACAATTCCATGTCACTTCCTTTTTCTGTGCAAAAGGACAAAGGTGGGTGGGGTGGGAATGATTTAAATAAATAAATAAAAGAAATAGTATGGTTTGGGGAGAGCTCTGGGCCCTGCAAAAACAACTTTGCCCATTTGATGTGGATATTGGATTACATGGTTCTCATTATTTCTGACTATTCTCCCTGAATAATCCAAGAAAGCTTTTTTAAATTATTATTTTTAATGGACTGTGACGCAAGTATGTACACCACATTTGCCATGTGCAGATACTACACGGGATAGATTATGCTTTATAAGAATCTAAAAGATGCCTTTTCTTTCTTTTTGTCTTTTCTATCAGATGCCATTCTGCCAACCTGAATGGCCTGTACTACAATGGACCCTACTCAGCGACAACAGACAATGGCATTGTGTGGTTCACATGGCATGGATGGTGGTATTCATTGAAATCTGTCGTCATGAAAGTCAGGCCATCAGACTTCCATCCTAATGAGGTTTAAGTGTGTTTCAGGCACTCACCTTTTAAATCAATTAGTTTGAATTGTACTGTGATATTTGCTTTGCTGGGATTTTGCTAGATATAACTTTGCTAAGGGATACTATACATTGTACACAATTTGATGCAGGGTTAAGTTTTCAGTAGGCTATAAATGTGCATAATTCTACATTGGCAAATAGCTTTTGCACAGAAATGGAGCCCAAATGTATAGTGTAGATATGTGATACTACCAGTTTTATACACAATTGAAGGAAACTACTGTTTATGGCCTCCGATTATGAAGGCCTTTGAATTAAAATAAATTTCCATAAAGTGATTTTATGACTTTGATCAAACTCCGGGAGGCAGTGGAAGACAGGAGGGCCTGGTGTGCTCTGGTCCATGGGGTCACAAAGAGTTGGGCACGACTTAACAACTAGACAACAACAACATTTGGTATATCTATGGCCTCATCATGTCATAGTCTGGAATTAGGTAAAGGTTCCCCTTGACAATTTGTCCAGTTGTGCCCAACTCTAGGTGGTGGTGCTCATCTCCGTTCCCAATTCATAGACCTAGCGTTTTGTCCGCAGACAATCCTCTGTGGTCACGTGGCCAGCGTGACTAGACACGGCATCTGGTTTACCTTCCCACCAAGGTGGTACCTATTTATCTATTTGCATTTTGCATGCTTTTGAACCGCTAGGTTGGTGGGAGCTGGGACAAACGGTGGGGGCTCCCTCCGTTGCGTGGCTTCGATGTTACTACTGCAGGTCTTCGGACCTTGTAGCACAGAGGCTTCAGCAGTTTAACCCACAGCGCCGCCGCCACGCACTGGAATTAGGCCCACACTTAAGCGTCTCTTACTGCAGCCACCAAATAAAGACATTTTAGACAAATTTTCAAAACTTTATGAAGCTTTGCGGTTCAATGTGTTTGCCTTCACAGTGTCCCATGAATCTGTTGGTTTTGTACAGCAGTGTAACATAGCTACCCTGTGCTAAGCAACACTATTAATCTAATTCACTCCTTCTTTTCCTAGTGATTTACACCCCTCACCACTAGAATATATCTATTCTAAATTCACATGTGATGCAATTCAGTTCTTCAAATGCTTTAAACTAGTGACCTAAATACTGGAGCTTCATTATGTATAGTCTGCAATTTTCGTAACCCTATATCCTGCTTGTCACATTATATTTATGTGGGGTCGAAGACTGGGGGAGGAGGATTTCATAAGGGATGCAAGAGTAAGCGAAACAGAGTGGAACTGGTGAAGCAGATATTACTCACAGCACATTAGGCGCGCCCACTGTGCTAAGCTGTTTGACAATCTGCAATTTCTGCTATTCATTTCTGTGTGACTTGCATTGATTAAAGAACTGGGACACTTCAGTGAATACCAGCTATGTAACAGACTCTTAAGCAGAGAGAGTTCAAGGCATTCTCTCTCTCCAAATAATGCACTTCTCTCCCAGTTTAGGGGGAGCCCTGGAATATCATGTGCAATTCCTAGAGCTCAGCTCAATGATGCATAGTTCAATGCACGGATTGCAATGCTGTGTGCACATAATGAATATCACGACCACCTATTCCCTACTGTCTGTGAGGACCTACTCCATTGGTAACCACACTACTTCTCCAATTCTGCAAACCAAACTACTGCAGAGGTATAAATGATGGAGAGGAGTGGGAGATAATATGGTCAATGGCAGGCCACCTGGAACAGAATAAGTTGACTAGCTGTAATAAAATCCGTGTTAATTACTCTGAAAGTTTTCTCTGTGAACGCACTTTAACCTAGATTCCATACATTTATTATTTGTTTATTACAATAAAGTATCACAGAAAACTATGCATAATGCCAACCAAATGGAAGGTCTAGAATGGGGAAAATATATTAGCTAAAACAATTTAATTTAAAAATCTGATTTAATGGTTTTTGTGGGTTTTTTGGGCTGTTTGGTCATGTTCCGGAGGTTTTTCTTCCTAATGTTTCGCCAGTTTCTGTGGCCGACATCTTCACAGAATTCTGTCTGTGACAGAATTCTAGCTCCTGCCCTCTGAAGATGCCAGCCACAGAGACTGGCGAAACATTAGGAAGAAAAACCTCCAGAACATGGCCAAACAGCCCAAAAAACCCACAACAACCATTGGATCCTGGCCGTGAAAGCCTTTGAGAACCAATCTGATTTAAATTTTAGTTTTAAATGTACGTAATGTGTTTCACATAATCTTGCATTACCAAGCTCAGAACTCATTTACTTCACAACACATCCTGTGTTTTATTTATATCGTGACAGAGAAGACGTAGCAAGTAATAACTAATCTATATCGTGATCTTGAGTTTGTATCCCTTTTTTATCAGTGTCATAACTTAATAATTAGACAAAATTAACATTCAAAGTTTTTAATTCAGATACATTATACTGCATATATGTGGGAGGTAAGTTCCTGCTTTATTTAGCACATACATATTCTTCCTCTGAGGACATTACTATTTATATGCTTTATAGTACAACGTTGTGTTTTAGGAAATTTAAAAAAAGGCAGCCAGTTCAGGAAATCTGCATTCTATTCTGGGCTCTCTTATTACACAGAGGATCTGTTTGAAGTTCTGTACTGTTATTATTGTTTTACAGTCAGCAAAAACAAAGCCCAGGAGCTGATTGTTGCTCTGATCATTAGCTTCTTATAAACTCAAGCTTAAACTGAAGAAAGTAGGAAAAACCACTGGGCTAGTCAGGTATAAACTAAACCAAATCCCTTATGAATACACAGTGGAAGTGAAGAACAGATTTAAGGAACTAGATTTGGTGGACAGAGTGCCTGAAGAACTATGGATGGAGGCTCATAACATTGTACAGGAGGCATCAAAAACCATCCCAAAGAAAAGGAAATGCAAGAAAGCAAAGTGGCTGTCCAACGAGGCCTTATAAATAACAGAGAAGAGAAGGGAAACAAAATGCAAGGGAGATAGGGAAAGTTACAGAAAATTGAATGCAGATTTGCAACAAATAGCAAGAAGAGACAAGTGGGCCTTCTTAAACGAATAGTGCAAAGAAACAGAGGAAAAGTATAGAAAGGGAAAAACCAGAGATCTATTTAAAAAAATTGGAGATATGGAAGGAACATTTTGTGCATAGATGAACATGATAAAGGACAAAAATGGTAGGGACCTAACAGAAGCAGAAGACATCAAGAAGAGGTGGGAAAAATACACAGAGGAATTATACTAGAAAGATTTGGATATCTCGGACAACCCAGATAGTGTGGTTGCTGACCTTGAGCCAGACATCCTGGAGAGTGAAGTCAAGTGGGCCTTCAGCAGTGGCCAGAGGATTGGAAAAGACCAGTCTACATCTCAATCCCAAAGAAGTGCAATGCCAAAGAATGCTCCAACTACCATACAATTGCACTCATTTCACACGCTAGCAAGGTTATGCTCAAAATCCTACAAGCCAGGCTTCAGCAGTATGTGAACCGAGAACTCTAAGAAGTACAAGCTGTATTTCGAAGGGGCAGAGGAACTAGAGACCAAATTGCTAGCATGCGCTGGATTATGGAGAAAGCCAGAGAATTCCTGCAAAACATCTTCTTCTGCTTCATTGACTATGCAAAAGCCTTTGACTGTGTGGACCACAACAAACTATGGCAAGTCCTTAAAGAAATGGGAGTGCCTGACCACCTTATCCATCTCCTGAGAAATCTATACGTGATTCAGGAAGCAACAGTTAAAAGTGGATATGGAACAACTGATTGGTTCAAAATTGGGAAAGGAGTCCGACAAGGCTGTATCTTGTCTCCCCGCTTATTTAACTTATATGCAGAATACATCATGCAAAAGCCTGGACTGGAGGAATCCCAAACCAGAATTAAGACTGGTGGAAGAAATATTAACAACCTCAGATATGCAGGTGATATTAATCTGATGGCAGAAAGTGAGGAGGAATTAAAGAACCTCTTAATGAGGGTGAAAGGGGAGAGCACCAAAAATGGTCTGAAGCTCAACATAATTCCTTCAGATCTTTTAGCCTGAAGTGTTCTACTACTGAGCCAGCTTCAGTTAAACAGACCAACACTACTGCAAATTAACAGCAGTTTGAAGAAGATGATCAGTGGCAGGGCCAAATGCAACTTATTGCAGAAGTCTAATCTATAACTGAGTCTGTGGCTATAACAACATGGATATCTGTGGCCAACACAGTGGTGCAGCAAACACAGCTGATGAAAAGCACTGTATGCCACTTGAACCTATTTAAAAAATCATTATTGGTAAGAATATAAACACTTTCTTATGACAATTCAGATTGTTAGTCCTTTACTTCATCCCTGTTGTGTTGATTGACTTGCAGCTCTCTAGAATTCCAGAAAACAGTCTTTTCCAGTCCTAGTTAGGTAAACCTGGGATCTTCTGTATCCAAAGCAGCTGTAATCTCCAGAGGACTAGAAACTTATTTTTCTTGATCCCTCAAATATCCATAATTTTGTACAATTTAAATAAATACTGTTTTATTTTAGCCATATTTTGTTGCATAAATTTTGCATTGTAGAGTGTTTATTGCCAGATGAAGGCATGCATTTAAATGGTTTCAAAGTATTTTATTTACAACAGCTCTGTAAAGCAGGTTGCTATTATTAATCATCACACTGCAGATAAAATAATGCCACTGACAGAACAGGGGTTTGCCTAAGGCCACCTAATCAGTTGATGACATTTTCATGGGAGACTTGACACCTCCTAGTTACACTTTTGGTCACAAAAATTTGATACCAGTTCTCTTTCTTTATCATGTTAATTTATTAAGACAGCAATCCTACACGAGGCTTGGTTGGTAATAAGCCCTATCAAGATTTATGTTTTAGTAATCATGGATTGGATTGCACTATAAGGTTGTCTGCAAAAACAAAATAAAATCTAGACAAATATAAAAAGCATATTGTATGTCATCTGATTGTTGAGTATCTCAATTTGCTTCCTCCAAAAGCTTGAATGTATGCGCACGGGGGGGGCGCTATTTCAGGACTTCAGATGAAAGATCACCTTATTGTGTTCAAACATGGATAGGGAGGCACTCAACAGGTTTGAAGTGTGCAAGCTTGAATGTATAACTTGGTATAAAGGCCACACAAAAAAGTAAAGAACAATCAGAAAAATAACAAAACGCATTGGCTTGGCATCAACAATTTAACAATGGGCATTATTTCAGCCATCACCAGCAGGTAAGGTACAAAATCCCTCCCTTTAATCTTCTTCTATAGAATTCCCTTAAAAATGATTTTACAGAGGTAGGTTGGTTTGTTGAAGAAGACGAAACAATAACCAGTGTAGAATGAATGAGACGTTATGATCTACTAAGG